CAAAGTCATGGGGAGATGCTGCTACCTCAGTTGGTCCAGAGGGCAGAGCATCAACCCTAAGATCTAGTGGAATTTGCTATGCTAGGTTTTGGATTTACTTGGACCCATTACCTCTTTCTTTTTTTGATTTCTCCTCTTTGGAATGAGAACGTCCATCCTATGTTTGTCCCACCATTGTATTTTGGAAGTACATAGCTTTTCTGATTTTACAGGATCACTGACAAAAAAGGAATTTTGCCTCATAATGAACTGTACCTAAATCACCCATATCTAATTTAGATGATACTTAGAGGAGACTCTCGACTTTAGAGTTAATTCTGCAATGAGTGAAGACTTCTGTGGGTTGAATTAAGTTTATTGGGATGAGTTAAGGTTGTTGGGATGGAATGAATTTATTTTGTATGCAAGAAGGGTGTGGATTTGAGGTGGGGATAGCTAGGAAGCGGGTTCTCTTGCATATGTTAGGCTAAATAATTTTTTTCTGTATTATTTTATTACAATTATTTTTATAACTGAAGTAAGTTTCATAATTCCGGTGCCTCAGTGCATGTAAAAGAGAAAAGCAGAAAATTGCTGTGTCAACATCACTTGGCTTTTACCACCACCTCTAAGAGTACAAATGAGACAGCACAGGACCTAGGACATTCTGTTTGGAAGTAAGTCTGTGACTCACTGTTAAACAATGAGTCTCAAAGTTTAGATTTTTGATTCATTCTGTTTTAAAACTAAATCACTAAGGAATGATTCGTTGTAATGACTGTTTCTCTTACATAAGAATGGAATGTATTTTTTGGAAAAGGTTTTAAGAAACCATCCAGGTATTTCATCATTGTAAGGTAGTGCTATATTTTGTAGACCTTAAAATGGAATTTAATTATACATTTTGGTCAGTTTCTTTTGTTAGTCATGCCTAACCAAAAATGATTAGGAAATTAGAGCTGAAAGTACAGCAGAAAAGTGTAACAGTGCTGTAGTAACAGATATTCAACCAACCTCTGTGGTTTTGATCTTAGTCAGCCAGTTCTACATTATGAATTAAGGGTAAGGGAATGACAATGTGTGTAGTCATCTCATCCAAAAGCAGAGCCCTGATTTCCTTTAGGTTCCTATCTTTGTGTGGATTGCCTAAGATCATGTTTCTTAGTTCTTTTTTTTTATCTGCCTGAAGGCCTTTATTATTCTTTCAAGTAGAAGAAACAAAACAAGTACCATAGTGATAGGTTGTTTTTCTATCAAAATTCAGAAAGCATAGAACATTTTTAAAATTATATTTCAGCTTTTCTATCACTTTTTAAGACTCTACTGTACTTTGTAGCCAGCCTAATTTTCAGAGCACCTGCCACATTTGGGTTGGTCAAGATTTTTTAGAGATTGATTTGCTTCAAGAGTGTGGAGAGTGGGCAGAAAAAAAAATTCTGTTCCTCTTGAATTTGTCATCTGGCACCAGGATTCTCCAAATCAATGAGTAGACACACAAGACAATCTTGGAGCTTTACTAAGTGTGCAGCCTACAAAGTTTGGTGGATCCTTATCTGATTCATGCAGAATGGAGGCATGCCTCTAAAATCTTTTGGCCAGTTTGAAAACCACTAATTTCTTTCTTTAATGAAAAACACATTTTCAATATTTATTAAACATTCATTAGTCTAATGTTAGTCAATTTATTTTGTGTGTGTGTTGATAGTCAGAGACAGGTATAGCTAAAACACATTCTGAGTAAATACTGGTTATATAGAAATGTATACAATAGAATAAAAACCATTATATTCTCCCTACTCTCCCACCTCTTTCGTAGGTATCCACCATAATTCTTTCAGACTTCACAAACTTATATACACACTCATATAAATATACTTGAACATTTTTTCCCCTATTTTGCAAACTATTTCCTAAGTTTTTGCCGGTAGAAAAACACAAATCTGGTTAGGCATTCAAAGTACTTAGTAATTTATCCCCCCAGCACCAACTCTCTCAATTCATTTTCTTATAATTGACTCTGTATAGTCAATGTTTCAGCCTCTTTGGACTTCTCATAATTCCCTGCATACACCTTACCCTTTCCAGACTCTGCTACTTCGATTATTCCATTCCCTGCATGGAATACCTTTCCTTTTTTATTTTATCTGAGTCTTAAAAAAAATCTATGTTATATCCTAAATGAATCTGTTTCCTAGTTTGCTGTTGTGTAACCACTCCTTCCTTTGTATTTCCATAGCATTTTGTATATAACTTGACTATAACAATAATCATCCTTATAATAGCTAGTGAGTATTGACTCTATTGTGTGTAAGCTTAACTTTTTTACATTTATTTAATCATCTTTCCACAATATTTTGTAACTCACCTGCTTATATGTCTTTTCCCAAATAGAACACAACCAACTTACTTATAGATCTACGTGTAGGCTCTAAATCTGGGCATGCAATAGGTGCTCAGCAAAACCACGTATGAATGAATGAACGTAAAAATGTTGCTGTTCGGTGCTTGGTATTAAAAGTAATGCATAGAAAGCAGTAATTGCTTTCTCTGAATATAGAATACAGAAGGATACAGTGTGAATGGAATTTGCAAAAGCCAAAAAGGAATGGCCTGGCTTTTCCCTATAGAATATCCTGTAGCGAATTCTGCAAGTAAGTCAGAGGATTTGGGGAAAACTGAGAAAAACGCAAATAGAATTACTTTAGTCTAAGACACATTCGTCTGCATTATTTGATGATGGCTTTAGCCTTTGTGCAGGTATTTTGGCCAGTCATGACAGAATGAAATAATATTCATCAGAAATGTAACATAAACGGTGTAGACAGTATGAGTGCAATAGGAGGAAGTGAGAAGACTGCTATGAGGTGGAAATACAAGTTGTATTTTTCTGTGATCTTCAAACATTTTGTTTTATTTGACTCTTAATATAATTTTGAAAAATGATGTACCACTTTGCACGTTATAAAGTTGATATCTAAAAATACTTATTTAATCATAAGCTTTAGTAGCTACAGAGACTAAGTTAAAAACATATGATATGATGTATATGTACTTTAAATAAATGTAACAACTTTGGAGTTGCCTATTTCATTGAATCATAAAAAAATGTTCACCATGTAATCTGATTGTCTAAGTCAGTCCTCACTGCCAAACTACTTAAGTAAGTCAGACTTATTGTCTGTCAATAACAAGCATGGCTTTATTTTTTAGTTCAAATGAATAGGCTAAAACACTCCATGATAATTTCACATCTGAATTCTGATTGTGAGAGGGATATATAGACAGGCTTATAAGCAATCAGACAGACAGGTATAAAAAAAGAGTCTTGCCAGGATGAAATAAGCATCACACCCTTCAATTTTCTTGCTTTGTAAGAGATTATGCCCTGGGATCCAAGAATTCTTGAATTATTTATTTGCATTATGCTCCGGAGACTTGTACACCCAAGAACAATATACCACAATGAGGATAGGGATGGGTGAGAAATATGCTTTTTTTTTTTTTTTTTTTTTTTTTTTTTTTTTTGTAAAGTAGAATCAAGGCAGCTGTGAAAGGCAAAAGACGAAAGGTAAATTGATGGCTTACAGGTGCATTCTCAGGCAGTTCCGTTTTGGGAAAAGCACACGTGGAAGCTGAGGATTTGGAAATAGGTTCTGCTCAAACACTTTTATCTGCATTACCCTTTATGAAAAGTCTTTGTTTACATTTCCTTGAAGACTGCTGGTATGGGTTGTGTCTATGTAACATCATAGGCATTTACACAGTATGATCGATCATAAGATAAATGGATTTTGACACCCAGATTATACTTTCTGGTGCTTTGCTACATACAAGTGCCCTCTCTATATCTTATACACAAGGGTGTATCAGATACCACAACCTAATGGTTTACCGGGTACAAGAGAAGAGAGACAATGAGTGTGTGAATGGTCAAAGTAGAAAAATTATACAAAATCACATGTAAGGAGACATTTGTAGAGTTTGAACAAGATGAAGATGAGGTGACTAAGGGATTAATTACTAACACGTTCCCCAGTAGTGTGGACTAACCATTATATACAATAAATAAGAACTTTTTACAACATGGATTTTCCTGCAGTTTGTGAAATTTTATTTTTTAACTAAAAAGCTTTGTACTTCTAGCCTAAAATATTCAGTCTTTTAAAGTTTAGTTTTATTCTCACTTTGAAACACGTATTTTATTTTGAAAATAAGTTTGTAAGAATATTTTTAAAATGCTTTAAAAATAAATGTTTACATCAATATTGATTTAGCATTCTACATGTAACCTTTAAAAAATATGCAATGTTACTTTATGAACATCATTTGTATTGCGTTACAATGCGAAACAGCATCAGAATAAGTCTCAGCGACATTAGGAAAGCTTCCTAGTGAGCTATTTATTTAGCTGTTTATAAAATCTCTTCAAGTATTTGCATTTTAGCCACGCAAAATTGCTGGCATACAACAAGGAAAAGTGTGCGATATCTATTTTGTTTCCATTGCTTTCTTGCTCTGGTTTTTATTTAATTCAATAAGAACCCCTGTTCAAGCTGAATGAACACCAAATGGTGCTTGCAGCTCAGAAGTATAAACTACTGTCTGTGGCTATCATAAGAAAATATTCCAGCAGGTTCAAAAAAGATTGGGAATTAAAAAAAACTACCTGTCCCCTTTTTGTAGAAGCAGTAGCAATCTGCAGACAAGCTCTTCTAGCTTCAAGACAGTAAGGTAGATGCCTTTTCGGAACTTGTAATTACAAAAATCCACTTGAACCTTTCTTTCTTGCTGGCAGGTGTCCTGCTGGCTGGTAGCCAGACACTGTGAGTGTAGAGCAGCCAGCGATGTCCCCCAGAGTGCTGAAAATGCCAACACTCCAGCTGGCTGCTCATAATTGCAATGATTGTGGTCTGACAACCAAAGCTCCAAGAAAAAAAAAAAAGTGATGAATATATGAAACTATTTTAAAAATTTGATCAGATTACAAATTTCATCTCTTTTTTTCTTCTTCTCCTCTATAGATATGATATCTGCACTTATAAAAATATGCCCTGTGGAACACTGGGTAAGTATTTGATGAAAGGGGGATAGTTCAAATTGTCTCTTTGGTCCAGGGGCTTCGCTCTTTATTATTAATTTGGTCATTTTCCTTTCTGACACATCTGAAATGACTCCTATAAATTGTTAAACCTAATCTTTGTTGGATATGTCACCTACTAGGAAACAAGAAGAGTGATGATTAAAAACAATTTAGGAGATGATTAAAAATCATCAAACAATAATAATAAATCAGAAGTTGCCACTCATTTTCATATAACGTATTTTCCAAAAATAATACCAAGGAATTTGAGAGCAAATAAAAGCAACCAGCATCTTTAAATATCAGGCGAGGAAAGGAAAGGCAGAAACCACTTTGGAGATTCTTAAGGAAGAAGCATTGAGAGCAGTATTTATTTTTAATTTTTTGGGGGGTGGTGGTGCAATTTGATGGAAATAGTATATCCCCATATATTAAGATATTATTGGAAATTTTTAGTATCTAAACGAAAAAGAGCAGAGTTGTAAAATATTACAGATAGTAGCAGAGAGGATACAATTATATTTCTTGTGTGCCCCCAAGTCATTTGTTTTAAAAAAAAATTTTTGTAATAATCTAGAATTTTAAAAAATCACATTTTGTTGCAGATCTTAACTTCATACTGGTAAAAGTTAACTACATTAACTTCAAGTAAAATAAATTTTAAGCAAATAGAGTTATTTTAAGAAATGGAGACTTTTTTATGATAATTTTTTAGTATCAGGAGACTTTTAACAGACTCAGAAGTTAAGCAACTGAAGGTGAATTCTCTAGTTTCTCCATGACAAATCTCAATCTTTTTACCTGTCAAGGAATAATTTTAAAATCTACTCCTATGCGCCTCATAAGAATGTTTTAAGATCAAATTAAAATAGGAGTGGGGAAAAAAGTATTACCCAACTTCCTGGGGTGTTCAGTGAATCATCTCTTCGGAGATTAAAATTTCTCTTGATGATTTTACCTGCCTTCCAGTCTTTTCCTACCTCATTTCCCTCGGGATTTATGGCTAAAGAAGAAATCTCAATTAGCAAAGGATGAGTATTACAGTGGAGAAGTTATCTAGTTAAAAAGTATAATACAGGACAATCTCTCATCAGAAAGATTTTATTTGTAGTAGTTTAGGTTAACAAGACCAATGTAATCCAACGGAAGGGATCCTGAACCGGAAATGAACGCCTGGTTTTGATAGTTTCAGTGCATTGCCTCTTCTAGTTTATTTAGCTCTTTTTCTCTCAATTTCTTTATCTATAAAGTAGAAGTAGTGTCTGCCCTTCTGCTACAGGATGTTCTTAAAATCATTTAAGTAAGAAATATAAAGGTATTTAGTAAAGAAGTAGTATAAAAATGAACAGCTGTTATTATTTAATGTGGAGATTATACTGTTTAACTTACTTTTTCTATTATTTTTCAAATTCTGCAAGCATTTACTAAGTGCTTAGTCAACTTTAAGTACAGTAGACACTAAGCCTCAAAGAAGGTACAAGCCAGAATGTATGTATGTATGTGTATACACATCCTGTTCTGCTTTTTGAAGAGAGATTGTTTACATTGAGATACATTCTTCATTGGGATTGGAGAACACTGTCCCCAGTAATAACACTGCTTAGAACTTTTATTGTCATTTTTATTAAAGTAAATTTGAGGTCTTTTCCTACCCCCTCTCCTTTTATATTTTTCAAAATAATGTGTTCAAATTTTTATAGTTTACGAATTTCTAGAATCAATACAGGCCAATGCATTTTCAAGCTCAATATAAAATTTTCAAAATTTAAATAATTCTGAATTATTTCTATACTGTCTCATAGTGAAAACTGAATAAACTATATATGTGTATACACACACACGTATTGACCTTTTGTGGGAAATACAGTATCAGTATAGAAGTAAGCAGGTTTTTTCTTTTTGAATAGCCATGCTAGTGACTTTCATGTTGGTTTTGTGCTGATGCTTGTATAATATATTCTCTTGCTTACTGAGTACTTCTGATGACCATTTTTGAACCTTACTAAGTAGTAGATTTAAGGGTGCAAACTGTGGCCATCAAACTAAGGAAATCTAAATGACCCAAATAGTAATCAAACCCCTATTAACACAATCACACATAAGAACTTTGACAGCTTCGATTTTATAGGAATACAGAAAATAGTGGAGGGTTGTGAAAATGCAGTAGCATTTAAATCACTCTTTCATTTTAGTTAAGATTTACCTTTATATCTTCAACCAGTAGTAGTTATTTCCAGAATATATTCTTTCTTAAGTTGTCCTTTTAGTAGAGTTAATGGTTTTATATCAGATGCAGAGGTAAAGAGCAGTGCTTACAAATACACCTCGGGGAGTCACTGAAAATTCTCAATGAAAAAATGCAGCACATGGCACATATCAAACAACAACAACAACAAAAGCTAGCCCATGGAATAATATATTCTGGGAAATGTAAGAAATGTTAATTTAATAATAACTATTCTTATTAATATATACATATTTTTAAACCAAATTTTATAAAGCTTGAAACAGGGTTTTGAGTGGCGTTTTTAGCCCATATCATGGACCTTGTTGAACCCAATAGCTTGAAGCCATTTAATATACTGCAAACTTTTTGTTTGTTTGTTTGTTTGTTTGCTCTCTCTGTTTCTCTTTCTCTCAGTGGAGTCCCTCTTTTCACATCCTCTTCTTCAAGTCCTAAGACTTTTAAGTGAATGGAAGGGCAGGACAAGGGTAACACTAGTGTTTATAACTCTGTGAAACAGAAATTAACCCCTTCCCCAACTGCTGCCTTTTCCACATAAAACAGTAGGAAAAGTAAACAGTCTATTAACAAATCCAGCACTAACCTCCTCTCTGTTCCAATGTTTCATATTAGAAGATCCAGAGAAACAATTTCTAGAGCTTTCTCCACAGTAAAAGTATGAATTGAATGGCTTTTACTGTTCCAAATCAGAGCAACTGGGGGAATTATACCAGCACAGAACATTGTTTATTGCACTCAGTAAATATTTATTGAATTGGATTCAAATCACTTTTGTTGGGAAGGTAATTATTAATATTTGGCTGATGATAGTAGACTACTAACATATAAAGAGTCTTTCCTGGTTTTCCTTCAAGTTCTTATAAATAATTTTGCCCCTATGTGTGGTAAGTATGATTTGGTATCTGTTTTCTTACAACCCATGACATTTTATCTTCTACACAAAAATGATTTTTTTCTAAGCACTGTTTTAAAGTTGCATACCAATTCACAGAGCCTGATATTCATTTGGAAGTAAATAATTTAAGCTTTTACATACTAACATCCCTAAAGGAAGAATACTTTGAGTAACATAACATTTCACTGGAACCAGTGAATTAACCCCATAATTTTTCTTTATTAATATAATTCTACAACATCAAAGGGGGATGGGAGAGAAGAGAATTAAATTGGATATGTGGATGACTTTTCTACCATTAAAACACTTAAAGAAATTGTTGTATTAGTATCAGGACTAATTTTAATAACCTCCTGTCTTTAACATTTCTCCTTTTTCTCTTTTGAATCATTCATTTTTTTTAATAATGTCATTTTAGAAAACCATTTGGGATTCCCTTTTTTTTTTTTTTAACTAAAAAGTTGCTTGTATATTTTTATGAACCCACTAAACTTAAACAGATCTCTTTAGAAAAATAATGTGGATATATTTTGCTTTCTACAGCCTAAAGAATGTTAAAATAGAAATGCTTTCTTGAATTCCCTCTTCTGGCTCAAGTTACTAGGTGGTCCCAAGTTACCAGAAGTAAAATTTATAAATCTAACCCCTAGTCTAGACATTTTCCAGCACTGACTGCAGTTCAAAAAATATTAATGTCTAGCCGGCAAAGTGAAACTCCCCCCTGTGATTTTGCAAATGACTAGAAAGTTAACCTTTTGCCAACTGCTCCTTCTGTGCATGGAGGTTATTAAAAAGAATCCAGGCATTTATAAGTATGGGCTTTTTAAGACTGAAACACCTTGGCTTGACCCTTTGTGTCTCCTTCTGTTTATTCAGGCTTGGCCTCTGTGGCTGGAATGTGTGAGCCTGAAAGGAGCTGCAGCATTAATGAAGACATTGGCCTGGGCTCAGCTTTTACCATTGCACATGAGATTGGTCACAAGTGAGTGAGTTTAAGAAAATCAAAATAAATTTTAGAGCTCCACTCCTTTGAGCAACTCATAACTACTGTGCGGAACATATGTGCTCAGCCATATTTTACTGCCTTTTTGTCTGATTTCAGTAGAGAATGTTATCATTTAGGGTGCTGGGATAAATCATCTTAAGAACTGGAGACTTGTTAAATAATCTTTCTGATTCATGACTAGTATCCTCCGAGTGGCGAATACATCACACTTAAGTTTTGTGATATATGTACATGTGCAGTAATTTAGTTTTAGCGTGGTCTACTCAACACCCGGCTCCTCTAAGTGAAATTGTTGAAATGATCTTTCTTTTCCTCAAGTGACAATACCTTTATATTTTAAAATTATCATTGACACAAGTTGCATAAAATTTACTTTGAGTTTTCACTCTTCCTACAGCTTGTGAGCATCTTTTCCAGGCATAAAGTTTGTGCAATCATTGCTATGTAACTTATATTTTTCAGGTGTACTTGTGTGTCATTAAAAGAAAGAAAGAAAGAAATGGTGTTCCAAGAGTAGTGAGATTTCATCCTTACTACCTTTTAAGAGGACCTAGTTTTTAGTATTTGTTTTAAATCTATCTGGCCCAAAACTGTCCTATCCACCTCTCATCTATAAAACCCTACTTTCTTTACTCCAAACACAGGCAGTAGTAAATGTAAAAGCCTGATCATGTGAAGGGAGAGGAGTTTGGAAACTTTAAAAGGATAGTCAAACATTTTTATGTCAAGCAAGCAATCTATTTGCAAGAGCTCCTGACATTTGTATGATCTAAGTTTTACAGTCTGTTTTTTTTTTTTTGGATAAAAAATGGGTGGGGGAAAAAGAACAAATAAAAATGAATGTTTATTGTACACTTGCCTTAGCGATCATTCCTGAGATAAATTTGTAGTTGAGCTTTTTTTTTCTTTTCTTTTTTTTTTTTTTGAAAGGAGAGTAAAATTGGATCAGTCTGTTGCATTATTTGGAAAATTGCAATTTAAATTTTACCAAATTAATATTGATTTATGGGTAGCCTTAAGTAATCAGCAAGCTTCAAACCTGGATTGCTTCAAATATGGGAAAAAGGCAGCATTACACGTTTAGTAAAGTCCTAAAAATATTGGTATTCTAGTTTCCATTGCAATAAACAGCAGGGGAACAAAAGGGAAAAGCCCTTCTTATGCAGGCAGTTTATCTTCAGTGCACTTACAAATTTAGCTCATTAATGACTGTCATAATCTTATGCAACCAGTCTGAATGTAATAGGTTCTGGTAGATTCAATTAAATTGAAAGGTCAGGACAAGCAGCATAGCATGGATGAGTAATGTGTGTAGGGGAGCACTATTCCATGCAGTTGCACGTTAGTCAATGCCAGCATATGCTGTGTAAGTTCCCTTTTCTTATATGTACTTACATAGCCCATTGGAGGGTTTATCTCTGTATATCTTATTAAGTTTCTAACTGTACTACTCTCAGGCCCCCTAGATTTTTTGTTGTTGTTGTTGGTCTAATGGGTAATTCCTTTAAATTTTTCCTAAGATGAATGGTTTATACCTTCTGTAGAAGAATGTGCGAGAGGTAGAATATACCTCTTAAGATTTATGTTCCTTCGAATAACTTTTTTTTTACTTCTAATTCTTGTTTGGTATAAATGTGATTGTTATAAATCGGTGTGTGTGTGTGGGGGATACACAAAATGCTTTTTAATGAGAGCCAGAAGAAATGCTTCCATTCAAAAATATTATTTGACTGACTAGAAATTAGCTTTCTTTCCATGTCCAGTTGATTACTATGTGACTATTCCTTCTCCCCAGACAATTAGGCAGAATGTGATTAACATGTTATCTTTTTGAATTTGTCAAATTGTATTTGGTCAGGTAGGAAGGATCTATTTCATGGATCTAAAGAGCCCTTTACTTGCTTTTAAGATTTAGGGTTTAGCTTTTAGGATCCCAGCAAGTCAGTCTGGCACAATTCATATAATTAAAATACAATGCTTTCTATTCTTCTGAAACAAAGCAATAGCCATGATAAACATCAAGTATACTTTCCAGATAAAGTATAGTGAACTTTTTTTTGTAATTTGTATTGTTTAGTAGGGTGGATGTTAAGTGAGATGATGAAGTCAGCAGATTCATCACAATGAAGAACATTTGACCATTGATTACTGAAACTTGCCCCTATTCAGTCATTAGACTGTGTGAATACTGTCTACCTTTAAAAAAATTGTGTAGAATATGGTTTTGCACGCAGTGCTTGCTCATGTAGGGATCTAATATCCATTTTAAACAGCTACGGGATAGCTTTTTTCTTTGGCTGGGCCTTAATGACTACTTTTATGTTTCTCCATATTTTGTGAAAACAAGAAGTTAGTTTCCTTGTCAAGTGAAAAATTGAGGTTTATGCTATTTTTAAATGGCATGTCTACCTCTAATGTAGGCTATAAGCCAAAGGCACTTAATGAAACTGTATAGAAAAGAATGTTCTTTGAAAGATTTTTTTCATTAATTATGTAGTTGCCATAGTTTCAGAAGTTGAAAAACTGTGGTGTTAAAGAGGGGTGGCAAGAACTCAACCAAACCTCTAGTTATACTGAGAAAACTATCTAATGTATTCCTACTATACAAAAATAATTTTTAAAAAAAGATATTAAAATATTAATCTTTTTAAAGGATGCACATTGAAGTCTGCAGGACTGAAGTGACACGATGTCTGATATTTACTTTTAAAAGAAAGAGGGGAAAGGGAAAGATAAAGCAAGAATAGCAACATGTTACATATTATTCTCATCATGATGTGTGGATGGGAGTTCATTAGGCTGATCCCTCTACCATTGTGTATGTCTGCTTTCTTTTGCAAATAAGAATAGGTCTTAAGGCCACAAATCTTTTAGATGTGACAACTCATTTATTAACTAATAGTGATTTGAGTGAACTATAAACCTGATTTTCAGAAAATGTGAAGAAGTGTCAAAAGTTGTATTGAAAGCTGTAGGGGTATGTCTATCAGTCTTGCTTTCAGAAATCATTGTTTGGTTTTACCAATTAGGGTATGCTTTCTATAGAAGACTGACTGGGAGATGTTTTTTTTTTTTAAAGGAGAAATGTGCCAAGACTTCAGAATAAAATTGTAAAGTAAATTATGTGTGTTAGGAAGCTCCAGTTACTGTTTTCATCCATCCAGATTTCCCTTCTTCTGGTGAAAGTACCTCTCTTTATTTTTTACATTTATATTTATTTTTTTATCCTCACCCAAAGATACTTTTTCATTGACTTTGAGAGAGAGTGGAAGAGAGAGGGAAAGACAGAAAGAAATATTTGATGTGAGAGAAACACATTGATAGGTTGCCTCCTGCACACGCCCAAACCAGGGCCCAGGCCAGGAGGAGCCTGCATTCAAGGTACGTGCCTTTGACCAGAATCAAATTTGGGACTCTTTGGTCAGCAAGCGGATGCTCTATCTACTGAGCCAAACCGGCCAGGACCCTAACTGTCTTTAAATGCTTGAACAGTGCTATGATCTCATGATAGAAGGTTAATAATAAGCATACACCAAAGTAGTGTGCCAACACCATGCTATTGTCTGTGCCCATGTTTTTCCTTTTTTGCTTAATCCCTTTACCTTTCCACTCAGCCTCTCCTCCACACACACTCCCATCCTCCAACAGCTGTTAGCCTATTCAGCTTTTTTTATCCACTCATCGATTGATGGGCTCTTGGGCTGTTTTCAAATTGTGGCTATTGTAAGTAATGCTGCAGTGAATATAGGGGTGCTTATATTCTTTTGAATTAGTGTGTCAGGTTTCTTTGGATATATTCTTAGAAGTAGAATCATGGGCTCATAAGGCAATTCCATTTTTAACTTTTGAGGTAACGCCATACTTACCACAGTGGCTGCACCAATATGCATTCCCGTCAGCAGTGCACAAGCGTTTCCTTTCTCCATATCCTCACCAACACTTGTTTGTAGATTCATTGATGATAGCCATTCCAGCAGGTGCAAGGCGGTATCTTATTGTGGTTTTAATTTGCATTTCTCTGCTGATTAGCGATCTTGAGTATCTTTTCACATGTCACACACATCTGTATGTTCTCTTTGGAGAAGTGTCTGTTCAGGTTTTTTGCCCAATTTTAATTGGATTGTTTGTGGTTCTTTTGGTGTTGAGTTTTATAAGTTCTTTATAAATTTTGCACACTAACCTCTGATGTATCTTTGATGAAGATGTTCTCCCATTCAGTGGGTTGTCTTTCCATTTTGTTGATGGTTTTCTTTGCTGTGCAGAAGCTTTTTAGTTTGATGTAATACCATTTGTTTATTTTTTCTTTTGTTTCCTTTGACCAAGGGAAGAGTTTATACTAAATGTGAACTTGCTTTATATAGGTTTGCAAAGAGTTGAGATTTCATTAGGCACACCCCTCCTCATTAAATAACTTCCTAAGTAAGTCCAAAATGAAGTCCAAAGTTAGAACTGAGTTCCAAATTCTGTTTTAGAAAACACATAAGCAAATTGTAATAACTATCCTATTGGGTAACTATTAAAACTAAAAATGTTTGCCAGATGTGGGTATAGAAGGCTCTGAGTACATCCATTAAATTTTGCTTTTGCTTTATTGTAACAAGTGATTCATAGCCAAGATCAGTTATGAATAAGAACAGATCAAAGAGATTACAAATGGAAAATAGTTTTTAAGAAAGATGTCCCTTTATTCCCTTATGTTTTTCTACTACAATGGAAAGGCTTAGTTTTGAGATTTTATAGTTGTCACAATTTAGATTATAATTATGTCATCACTTTTTAAAGTACTTTTTAAAGGGAAATTTTCTCATTTTAAAACATTAAGAAACTGTTCTTTTAAAAAATACATTGAAAATTTTTTTATTGACTTCAGAGAAGAAGGGAGAGGTAAAGATAGAAAGAAACATCATTGATGAGAGAGAATCATTGATCATACCCCTCACTGGGGATTGAGCCTGCAGCCTGGGCATGTGCCCTGA